TTTTCTAAAAATTGCCATAAATTGATTTTCCAATAAAAAATTCCAAAATTTATATCATTAAATAGAGGACATTTCAAACTATCCAAAAATATTAAATTTATAATTTTTCCATGAGATCTCGATTTTTAAGGATTTTTTAAATAAAATGTCTACACTGCCCCTTAGCAGTGTAACAATTTTACCCTCCACCTCTACCGTATTCTTTTCCTCTTTCTTTTCTTCTTCATTTCTTCGGCGCAAGGATTTTTCTCTTTTCTTCGTTTTGTGGGGGAAAAGTTACTCGGGTAACCTAACCCAGAATTTATTCTACGGGCCCTGAAGAGAATAAAAAAATAGTTTCACGCTAATTATTTACTTTAGCCGCATAGATGTTTTTTTATTTAAATAAAAAATTATTCGTTTATAATTTCTTTATGTGATATATCATTTATTTATCTTGACAAGAGGTTATAAAACAAAAATAAAATATATATTTAATTAATATATATATACAAAATATAATTATTAAAAAAGTTTTTTTGTAGATTCTTTCTTGTATGTAATTTAAAATTTAGTTAAATGTACTACTATAAACAAACTAAAAACTCTTCTCTAAATTTTCGAAATATTTGGATATTTAAATTATTAAGGATTTTTGTTTTGTTTATTTTGTATCTGCAAGGAAATAAAAAACAAGTTTTAAGTTGCCTTTCCACACCAGAGTTTGTTTTTAAATTTTTTAAATAATTTTTACAAAAAATTATTTCTGAAGACCAATCTCCACATCAACAACAGTTATAACTAGAACTACAACAAGTACAATACCTACTACTACATCAACTAGTACATCAACATCAACTACTACAACAACTACTACAACTACAACAACAACTACAACATCGGGTAATTATTATAGAATTTAAATAGGAGGGGTGGCTTGAAGACAATTTTCGGCTTTAAATGAATAAAGAAATATTTAAATTTAATTCTCTAAATTAAGTCTGTACATGCCCATCTGGGACATCAGGAATTATTTACAATTCTACGGACTCTCGTATTGTTAAATTAAATATGCCTTCAGCTTCTGCAACGTGTGGAGGTTGTCCTTCTGGGTATACACAAGTAAATTAACGATTGAATGTCCAGTCGTTCTATCATATTATTTTAGTCATGTTATCCAACCCAACCAAGTACTGACCCATCTAAGGATTTTCCCGATGTTAATGTACATTGTGGAGGGGCTACCCCAAACTATGCAAATTTTTGTGCTTGCCCGTCTAATGGCCAGCAATGTTTTACTTTTGGACAAGCTAAACAAGTGTTTGATGTTCAATTATATACTTTTTGTGATGCTGGAAAAAGTATTTTTTAAGTAAAGTTAATTAATTAAAAATTATTTTAAAGCTTGTTTAACATATCTTATTTTCTATTCAACTGATGATACTGATTTTATAAACAATAATGTACAAAGTGTTACTTATGTTCAAGAAAATAGTGCTACAGGAAATTTATTACCTTTCTCACAAAGTTCCCCATATGTTAAAGCACCAACAATTGCAAGTAAGTAAATCAGTCTGATGTTAATATACTCCTCGATTTACGAGCTTACTCGAGATTGAACTTTCGGACCGAGATTAGACTGTGTAAATTAAATTTAAAAAGGATTGTGAATTAAATATTTATTCTTAGTTAGTTGTGATGGATGTAATACAATTTCTAATAATAATGCAAAAACAGGAACGTCTGTTACATGTTCAGGACCGTTAACTACTTCTGGCTAAACAAAGAACGAAATTATTTTAGGAAAATATTTTTTTTTAATTTACACATTTATTTAAATAATTTATCTAATTATTTTTCAACTTCAAATATGTAAATATTAATTATTTTGTTAAAATTATAAAATAATTCTTTATGGTACTTATAATTTTGAAGAGCTTTAATAGGATGGAATAAATGAATAAGTAGATAAACTTAATTCTAATTTTCTGGTGAATTTCACAATTTAAAAAATTCATAATTTTAGGAGAATTGTACTGAATAATCAACAAAATAATAAATAATTATATTTAAACTAAATATTATACTATTAACAACCATTGTTCTTTTAAATTTATATATTTAATTTATGTTTTTCTCATAATTATATGTATGTATGTACATATTAAGGATCAAATTTCATGGATATTTAATTCTCAAGTCTGATTTTCCTCATTAAAACTAAATTCAAATAAACTCTGTTCCAACTTATTTTTAGTAAATTACATTGGGATCGAGAACGAACGATTTTCAGACTTTAATAATTATTCCCCGGATATTTTATTTTTTATTCCACAAAAATTTTTTTATTATTTATACCTAAGAAAGTAAAAATAAAAGAATATAATATGTATTTAACCGTGAATTTATTTTCAAGTAAAAAACAAAACGATTTGTGTGTTCAACCTTAATTATTTCTTGATATTTAGTTATTTTTTATAAAAAATATCTCTTTAATATAATTTTACGGAGTTGATTTAACTAAAAAATATTTATCTTTTATTTAATAAAAGTGACAATTAATTTAATAAAAATAATTTATATACATATTTATTTATGTAATTAATATTTTAACATTATTTAATTAATATTATTTGAGACATTGTAACATAAGATAAAAGAAATCAGAGTTAAATTAATATATTAATTAGCCTAAAATTGAGACAAGAAACAGACTTCCTATTAAAAATTAAATAAAAATAATAAAGACGAAACTCTTTAAGAATTGACTCAATTTTCTCTTATTTTTTTCAGTTCCTCATAATGTTTCAACCATCAAAACAAATTTTAAAATTATTAAAAATTTTTATTTTATTTATTTTGTATCTGCAAGGAAATAAAAGACAAGTTTTAAGTTGTTTTTCTACACCAGAGTTTGTCTACCTTATTTAAATAATTTTACATTAAATTTAGACCTATCACACGTTCAACAACTACAGTTATTCCCAGAACAACAACTATATCAACTAGACAAACAACAACAACTTCTATTCCCACAACCACAACCTCTGCCATTATACCAACAACTACAACAACCTCTATTATAACAACCCCTACAACAACCACACCCTCAACTACTACAACTTCTACTCCATCTATTATTACTACCACACCAACTACCACACCAACAACAACAACACCAACTACTACAACAACTACAACACCTACTACCACAACAACTTCCACAACTACGACGACAACTACAACTACTACAACAACGACAACAACGACAACTACAACACCCGGTAATTAGTAATTTAAATAAGGCTTATTAAATAGAATTAGAGAATTTTGATATAGCATGTATATGTAGAATATTTGATTTAAATCATGAAAAACATTTTTAAACGGGCGCAGAAATAAATCAGACAAAAATACTTATAATCTAATCATTATAAAAAAATTTTTAGTCTGTACTTGTCCAGCTGGATCATCAGGAATTATTTACAGTTCCGGAGACCCTCGAATATTTCAATTTAATATGCCTCCAGCAACTGCAACATGTGGAGGTTGCCCTGCTGGATATACACAAGTAGAAGAAATATTAAATTGAAACTTATTATCAAATAACCAAGTTATTTTAGTCATGTTATCCAACACAACCAGATAGTAATCCAGCTAATGATGTTGCTGATGTTTCCGTACAATGTGGTGTTTATTCCACATTTTGTGCATGCCCATCAAATGGGCAACAATGTTATACTTTTAATCAACCTAATCAAGTAACTGATGTTCAATTATTTACTTATTGTGATGCTGGAGGAAGTAATAATTATTTATTTATTTTTTGTGGTATTTATTCTGAACTACGAATTTCCTTCCCATACTTCTTTAACTTTTAAAAACAATTTAAGCCTGCCTAACATATCTGGTTTTCTTCTCAAATGACAACACAGACTCTATCAGCAATAATGCCCAAACAGTTACTTATGTTCAACAAACTGATGCGACAGGAAATCTACTACCATTCTCGCAAACATCTCCTTATGTTAAAGCCCCAACAATTGCAGGTAGTAAAAATACAAGAAAAATATTAAAAGTTTAACAATAATCTGAGCTTAACAATTAGTCATAGGCCAGGAATTAATGTAAAAAAATTATTTTTTTAGTTAGTTGTGATGGTTGCAATACTATATCAACTAATAATGCAAACACAGGAACGTCTGCTACATGCTCGGGGCCTTTAACGACCGCTGGCTAAAATATCATAAATTAAGAGAAAAATATTAGAAAAATATTTTTATTAAATTTTATTTCAATTAAAAATATAATTCGGGTTATTATGTAAAAATATAGATAGCATCACTGAATAATTTACTTGATTTTCTTTAAATTTTATTTAGGAAATAGTTATTGTCTTTTAATTTATTTTAAATAATCAAAATAAATATTTATTTAATTTATCAATAACTTCTTTCGTTAAAATTCCCAATTTTCTTTTTATTTTAATCCACAAAAAACAACTTTAAAATCGGGAGAAATTCTTCCATCTACTCCTTTACAAGTAAATAAAGAAGTATGATCATCATAAGCATATAAATAAGATGTTGGACAAACAGTTTTAATTTCTTTTTTTTTAAATTTATTAAAAATTAATTAAAATTTACTTGTGTAAATATCATTTTGTGCAGCATTCCAACCATTTCTGCATTTATTTCCATCATTGTAAGCATTTTTACAACAAGTAGCATCAGTATTATATTGACTACATAAACTTCTTATTGCGACTATTTTCTTTAGAAAATAAATAATTTTATGTAGATAAAATTATTTTAAGAAATCATTTTCATTTAAAAATGTAACAAATATTTTTTTTAATTTTATAAGAAAAAATTATTCCTTAACAATTTCCCCCAAAATTAAAAAAAAATTTTTTAAAGTTAGTGGAATTATTAAATTATTTTTGTTCAATTTTTTGGAATAGAAATTAATAAAAATATTTTTTATAAGAAACTGTCCAGAATAAATTTTTAATTAAATTATTAAATAAATACCGCGTTATTATCTTTCATTTCTATATTGTATTTTTGTAAATCCAAATTTCGTTGATCTTCTGTACAGCTAATCTCTTTACAATTTCCAACAGCTCCATTAAAAGTTCCAGCTATTGGAATTATTTGTAAAGGTATATTAGATCCATCTACATAACTAACATCATAATAACTAAGCCCCCCGTCTCCATTAAGAGTAAATTCGGCTAATGATGCGGGGATTTGTCCTTCAAGTCCGTTACATTCCAAAACACCCTAAAAATATTTTTAGAGATATTCTAAGAGGGAGTATTTTAATATATCCAAAATTAAATTAAAATTTACATCTTCACTAGTTTAAATATAAACAAATAAATAAATAAATACATTTCCACAAGACCCTGTAATACATATCATATTTTCTCCACAGCCAGTTCTTGGCCAGATACGGGCAGATTTCCAATCTGAGGGAACAGAAAGGCTTTGGACTTGGCCTGCTTGCAACGGACCAAAACCCCCGTTATTGGGTATCGGGCCATCATTTTTAATTGCCGGCCAAATTGGTTCACTACAATTATTGAACAATTCTATCGTTACCACTTTAAAAATAAATTTAAAATATTCTAAATTAAATTTCAAACTTTGGGGGAAAACTTCAATATTTAATGTAAAGTTGAGTAACAAAATAAATAAATAATAAAACATTATTTTAATTAATTAATTAATCTTTAACACTTATATTTAAAAAATAAAAATTCTAAATTCTTTTTAAATATTGCCTTTCTTATTTCAAAATATAAAAAAGAAGCGATGAACTTTATTATTTGTTCAGAAATTACTCTTTAATTTTGTAGACTTTAATAATTGCTGTTTATTAATGGATTATTTGGAAATTTTATTGAGAAATAATTTTAATTTTTGTTTTAAATTATATTAAAATTCTAAAGAGTAATATTCAGGAATTATAATACCAATACACTTTTTTAAATTAATTTTTATTATTGCGCATAGTCTGACATTGAAAACCCCTTATATTAATGTAAAAATTTTATTTAAAGTTTATTGTTGTTATTTTTTCAGTCAAAAAAATTTAACAAATTTATAAAGGTTTATATAAAAATATTCAAATAATTAAAAATATTTTTGGTCGACTCTCACTATAGTCTCCACACTATTGTGTACAACCCATCATCAGTCTAGTTTAAAATTTTTAATTTCTGACTTAGGTAAATCACCAAGTTTATTATTCCTTTAAATTTCTCAACTCCAAAGGGTGTAGACTATAACGCGATTTGCCTTTATCAAAAATTAATCTTTAATTTCTTCATCTTCATTCACATGCTAATTTTCCATGAAAGCTAGTCATTGCTAAAATAAATTTTCATTCAAAAAACTTTTTATTTAAAAATTTATTTTTACCAATTCCAAATGCTTGTACAGGTGTTAAAGGATAACGCTGAAAAGAAAAATATTTTTTTAAAAATTTTTCTAAAAAAACTAACAACATCCATTGTAAAAGTCTCATTGTCAAGTCGGCCAAATTGCATTATTACATATTCACCTTTTTTTTAATTTATTAGAATATTTTTAAAAATATAAAATTGTTAACAATTACAAAAAATTAATTTACTTAAAAATTTACTTGGATCTGGAATTACTTGAATATTATTATTATTTTGATGATTAATTTCAGACTGAGAAGCTAAATATAATTTAAAAAAAATATTATTTTTCTTAAAAAATTATTAAATAATTACCATGCATTGAATGGACAATTTGAAAATTTTTAACAGAAGCTTGTGTAACTCTTCCATGGAAATTTAATACGTATGATTGAGATTCTTTTTTAAAATAAAAAAAAGTTTATTTTAGATAAAGGCTAATTTAAATTAATTTAACAAAAAAACTTCTATTTAGATAGCTTTAAATACCGTAAATGCTCTAATTAAAGCTCTGGGCATCTATTTTTAAATGGGTTATTTTGGGTGGGCCTGTATTAGATAGGGCTTCTAATAGCTTTAATAATTACTATATTTATTTACCTTCATTCCAAACAGGCTGTTTATTATTAAGAACAACCATTTCATCCAATCTATTAGTTCTATATCTTTCTAATATTGAATCTCTTTCCTTAAAAGAATACTTTTTTCTAAATGAATAAATAATTACCGAAATAGGTCTAACAGCTAAAGGACGTAAATAATTATGTTTTGGGTCAATATATATTCCTTTAAATTAAAATTTATAAATTAATAATATTTTTAAAAACCAGGCATTATAATAGTCATCTTTCTTGGGCCTTTTAATCCAAGTACATTCTTTTCCTAAAAAAATTATTTTTCCATTCAAACGGTCAAAGAAATCTTTTAAATTTTAAAATTAAACAAATTACATAAATAACAGCTGCCAATTCTCTTCTAATACTTTCCCCAACCGCTGAAGGCTTTTTAGGATTTTCTCCATTATCATAAATTGTAAACATTGTACCCATTGCATTTGACCTTTTTTTAAATTAAGGGAATTTTTTTAAATAATTTATTTCTCACCTAACTTTAGCCATAAAACTTTGTCCATTTCTTCGTAAATCTGTTGGGTCAATTGAAATCTAAACTTAATTTTATTTAATAAATATTTATTTAAATTAACTAAATAATTAGCTGTTGTTGCTTTTTTTCTTCTTCTAGCAGCCAATAAAAATGTCTAAAAAATTATTATTCTTTTTTCTCCACAATTCCCACAAACAAACCCTTCGCCCATCATTCTTTTCTAAATGTAAATAATATGTCGGAAACATTCCTTTATCCACTCCTCTTTTATCTCTAGAAATTCTACATTTTAAAGTACAATTCTTTCTGATAGGCTCTATAATATGATAAAATTTTTGAAAAATAATTTAATAAATTTATATTTACCCATTACAAATTGTTCTAAATTTTCATTAACATCCAACATTTCAAGAGGTTCATCATTCAGAATTTCTGTTGGTATCGAACTAAATTATTTATTATCAATACAATATTGTTTAAATAAGGGGTATGAAGAGATGTTTGAATTTAGGGGATTTGTATTCTTACAATAGGAGGTTGATTTCTTACAATTCTTCTATTATATACAACAGATATGTCTATATCAAACAGACATCCCTCCCCTTCCATCCCCCGATTCTTTAGGATTATTTCTTATTTTAAATTCAATTTTTAATTTAAATAAATATTTCTCTTTTTTACCCTTCATCATCATCAACTTCATCCTCCCCATCATCATTCCATGAAGGTCTTTTACTTGCCAAAGCTGTTGTAGATGAATGCGATTGTTGGGCAGAACTTCTACCGCTAACACTTTTTTGAATATTTAAACCTCGAAATCCTATAATTTTTAATAAACAAATTTCGAAGAAAAATTAGATCATCAAAACCTCCATCATCCTCATCAACTTCAGAGCTAAATGAACTAACATAACTAACAGGTTCCAAATGTTCAACATTAAGTATTGGCTTACGCAAAGGGTTATTTTTGTTGTTTTCATCGCTTTAATTAATTAATTAGTAATTTAATTATTATATAACCTTGATTTTCTAGTTTGAGGTGGAGTAAAACCTAAATACATTAGATAACTTTAATTTATAATTAAATTATTATTTTATTTTTGATTAATCTGAGCTGTTTTGGGTTATTTTTCATTTAATTAAACAGACAAACAATATATTTAATAAACCGTGTAAATCTAAACTCTTATTAGCCCCATCTTTAGCTTTAATAATCTATTCTAAACCTTTAACAGTAATTATTTTTGCATCACCAATTATACTTGTTGGTGTTGGAGTACTTGAAAATGAAGATGTTGATGTACTGGTAGATGAATATTGTTGCTGTTGTTTATTTAATATGAAATTGTTACTTTTAAAATTTTGATTTGAGGAATTATTGTTATTTATTAATTGTTGATTAGTGGTTGTTGATGATGATATTATAGTATTTTCATTTCCAGCAAAAGAATAGAGACTTCCACTTAAAATTAATAATTTTTTGTTAATTAAAATTAAAATTTTAACTAAAATCAAAATTATTTTGTGATTAAATTCTCTTTATTTTTATCAGATTTTAGACTTTATATTTCAAAAAATAATTATTTGATAACCTCGAATGTATTTGACGTCCTCCAATATTATTTATATTTTGAGATGTGGAGGGTGTTGTAGTAAATGTTGAATTTAATTGTGTTTTGGAATTAAATACATCTTTTGCTTAAATTAAAATTTAATTTAAAAAAAAATTAAATTAAAGAAAACAATTATTTATTTGAAAATTCTGATTTTCATTCTGTCCATTTTCATTTGTTTTGAAGACTGTACTTGTTAAATTAGCTTGTAATCTATTTTTAATATTTTTTAATCAAAAAAATAAATTTCTTTTAAACCTTCGTTGACGTTGTTTTTCTAATAATTCCCTCTTAAATTAATTTATTCATTTAAATAAAATATTTTGATGAGTATTTACCTGTCTTTGCAAATTATGATTAACCCACCGATCACTAGCACTCATTTTTAAATTTAAAATAAATTTGGAGGGATATGAATATTATGTCTATATAACGAGAAAGTTTTTAGTTTAATTTAAGAAGCCTCAATTAATTATTTTAATTCCAATGTTTTATATAAAGATAAATTAATCTGACTAATTTTAGGATATAACTTTTAGACTAATATTTAATTAAAAAGAATCTTTTGTCTACCCATAACGTAAATTTAATTATTATATTGAAAGTCTTTATTTTCTATATTTGTAAATTAGGTGAATCAAAATATTAAAGAATATAATTTAATTTAGGTATTTTTAAAATTAAAATTAAATAGGTAGTTTTGAATGCCATTTATTTATTTATATTGATAATAAAAAAATATTTTTAAAAAATAAAATGAATGGTTGGTTGATAAATACAAGGCAATAAATCCTTACCTATATTAAATGTTGCCAAGGAAACGATTTTTATTGGCTAAATTATGACTTTAAAGTGAAAATTAATAAAATGAACTTTATATATTTCGCATAAAAATATAAAATAATTTAAATGTAGCAAAGGAAAAAGTTGAAATTTTTAAAAATTAAGGGTAATAAATTTTATTATAAAGTCTAAATTTTCAGTCTGGCATTGATTATTATTAGAATTCCAAAATTCTGAACTCGAAAATGCTGGAAACTTTTAGGAATGGAATTTTATGTATCATTCATTATAAATTAAAAAGTGATAATAAATTAAATCGAATTAAACATTTTGTATTTATTTTTTAAATTAATTTTAAATAAATTGATTTAATATTAATTTAAAGAATTTTAAATTTTTATTTTACAAAAAATAATTATAAAGAAAAAACTGTGTTTTGTTTCTATTAAAGTGCAGATTATACAAAATAAAAGTTTTAAAATTTTTAATCAAAAAATAAATTTAATTAAACTTTTCTTACCCTTATACATAAATTTAAAAAATTAAACCCAACAAATTTAATTTTGACAAAAATTCTAAGAAAAAACCCAAATATTTAATCAAAAGTACAGAATAGTCGTCTAAATAAATGTATATAAATACGAGGTAGGAATTCGAAAAATATACATATTTTAAAAAATATTATATAATTTCTATTTCTTAAAAAAATAAGAATAAAATATTCATGTTGTTAAAAAATTATCAAAAAACACTGTTTGCCCATCGCTTAATGAAAAACTGTAAAAAATTTAATTATAACCTACATAGAAATAAATATTTATCTTATATTTTAATTTTCGGATATCTTTAATTTTTTTTACCCAACCCAAAAGTACAAAATAAGTTGTTGCCTTAAATTTTAATAAGGACTTGTTATTTTTAACTTTAGAAACATAATATCTAAAGTTTCATACCGGAAACATATCAATCGAAATTTTGAGATCTAGAGTTTATAAATTAGACCTAAACATTTTTAATCTATAAATTAACACATTTTTAATTTTCCAAAGATTTATGGAAGGAATGTTTTCCAACAAATTTCCATACAAATCCAATATTTACTTCTCCAATAATAACTACTACAATTAACTCAAAAAATTATTTTTCTTTACCAGCAAATACTGATAAAGTACATACTAAAATTAATTAAAAATTTAATTAAAATTCTTCAACTTTACAGAAAATTCAATTAAAAACTGTGCCAAATATGGAAATTAATTTTTTAAACCCAAATGATAAAGAAGTGGAAGAGGAGGTTTTGCAATTTTTATTGGATCATTTTCTGATTGATGAGCCTCTTTTTGAAGGATTAAAAATTAGTAGAGAGGAAGTTATTCCCTTCTATAAAGGCTTGGAATTATTTTAAAAATTAAAAAAAAAAGAAAATTATTTTTTAGAAATTATTAAAATATGTTCACAAGAACCACCAATTTCAATGCTTGTAAGGTCCAAAAATGAGGAAAATAAATTAGTTGCTGTAATGCTGGGGCAATTAATAAATAGATATGGGCCTCAAAATGATTTTTATAAAATAAAAGGAGAAAAAACAAAATATTCTCCGAATGTTGATATTTATTGTAAATTAGTACATTTGTGTGAATCTTGTGTAAGTTTAAAAAGAAATTTAGAGGAAGTATCTAACATTAATTTTAATAATGAAAACTTTCTAATAATCATACTTAAAAATAAATACATACATAAAATTAAATTTCAATTTCAAATACAATCTCGATCATTCGGTTATTGAGGTCGAGATTCTATTGAGATTCTTGTACGACTAATGCACCCCTAATTTCTAAAACTTGATTTGTTTTAGATATTTTTCCACCCCCCCCCCCCCCCCCATAAAATATTTTTCAATTTTTTAAAGGTATGGGATTTACTACCCAAAAACATGGTTAAATTGTGTAGCGTTGCTTTTCTGTCGGTTCACAAAGATTACAGAAAATTAGGTATTGGATACCAAACAACAAAAGAATTAGTTAATTATTTACGTCAAATGGGGGATGTTCAAGGATTTGTTTCTGAATTATCTGCCGTTGGAACACAAAAAGTAACAAAAAAATAATTTTATGAAAATTATTTTTTAGATTTCCAAAGAAATTGGTTTTGAATTATTACTTCAGATACCTTATGAAGGATGGAAAGATGAAAAGGGAAATCAAATTATTAAAGCTAAAGATGGGGCTAAAAGTTTAGATTTACAATGTTTATTTCTTTAAAGGAAAAGAAAAAGAAGAGAAAAGAAATTTAATTTTAAAAATTAAAAATGAAAAAAAAAATATTAAAAAAATGTAAAATGGAAATAATTTTTGATTAGTTTATTATAATTAATTTTTAATACTTGAGATTTACTATATAATCACCAATTTTTATCAAATACTTAAATCAAAATAACAAATAAAATTAAAGAGAAGGGATATGTAAAAATTATTTTGTTGAAAGTATTTCAGACTTTTCCAAATTTTGTGTTGTTTTATTATGATGTACAGGTAAATATAATTTAAATTCTGCAGGTAATTCATCTTCTGTATAAATTCTATCAGCAAAATAAACTCTTCTTAAACGACAATTTGCGTGGATCTAAAAATATTTTTTAATCTCTTTGATACTCTCTAATGTTTTCCTTTCCCCTTTATTTCCCTCTAATTAAAATCATTAAAGTTTAAAAAACATTTCTGGACAAAATCTTCTTTGAATAATGTTTTTAAATAGATTTTTAATTATTCCCAGTAAAATATAATTTGTTCCAAATAGGAAAACAAAGCAAATCAGCTCCAAAAATTTCCCCTACCTGAACTCTCAAAGTCTCAACATAACTCGTTCCATAAGCTCTCTTAACAAAATCCGACAAATTAAATTGTACTTGATTCCACCCCTCATCTAAACGTAAAGGCATTGTACAAATAAAAGGTTTAACTCTCGTTGTTGATTGAAAATTAGATGCTCTAAAACGCCTTTTTGTTCCTTTATCGTCCAAAATCTTTTTTTGTTTAATTATTAAAAAATTAATTTTTTTAATTTTACCTGAACTTCAAAAGTAAAATATTTATTTAAATTTTTGACAGTCATAAAAAAGAAAGGCAATTTAATGCCTAAAGTTTTCTTTGGATCAAGAGGACAGCTTATATATGTTGTGCTGAAATATTTTTATGATATATTTTTTTGAAAAATTTTTCGAATTTTGGAAATGAAAACAGAATTGGAAATGAGTAATAAATAAATTAAATTTAAATTTTTCTCAATAAATTTAGCAATGTCTTTGGTAAAATTAGACTTAATAAAACGACAAAATTTAAAAATTCATAACGGTTAGACAAAAGGAAAATAGTACGTAGCTGTCAAGAAAAATTGAAAGAGATTTTGTCTAACCAATAAAAGAATTTTTAATTTTCAGTTTTTATAAAAAAATTTTTCTAAATATTTACCCCAAACTAAACGAAAATAAAATTTAATAGAATAAAAATATTAAAATATTCCCAATATTTTAAATAAAAATTATCTAACCTAACATTAGCTCCCATTAATTCAATAATTAAAGAATGAATATCTTCATCAGTAATTCTTTTAATATGTCCATTACGTACATTCTATTAAAAATTATTTTGAAAACAATTTAAAATTTAAAAATAACCTTATCCCAAATTTGTAAAGGTTTGCTTCCAATGCTGTAAAGAATTGATAATAAACCGCTTTGGAAAGTATTGTGGAACATTTTATTTGTGAAGAAGATCCTGAAAAAATAGTAAAATAAAATAAAAATAAATAGGTAACCATGACTACAAAATTAAAAAAAAATAAATCCATACAAATAAATACTCTAACTATACGAATATTTACTTGGAGAATAAAACAAGTTTATATGAACGGACAAAAGAGTAATTTGACAAAGGATATACAGTAGTCGACATAAAGATAGGGACAAGAGTAATTTAAATGTAAATTAACTATTTTTCAGTCAAAAAATACGTTCTATATATCAATCGAAAGCTCTATTCGTATCTCAGTTGACATGTTTCTGCATTTTTCATGAAAATGAAAATTGGCCGAGATAATCCGGATCTACCGGATATACCAAATCCCATAGCCTCGGAAAAAATTTTCGGAAAAAATCTAACAAACCCATTTGATAAAGCATATTTTTGTGAGTAGTTACCAAAAAACAGCTTAGAAATATCTTTTTCCGGGACGGAGATATGATTTTTTGAAAATGGCATTTTTCGCTTAAAAATTCAATTTTTTGCAAAAATAGACGAAAAATGCCATTTTCAAAAAATCATATCTCTGGACCGGAAAAAGATATTTCTAAGCGGTTTTGTGGTAAATACTCACAAAAATATGCTTTATCAACTGGGTTTGTTAAATTTTTTCCGAAAATTTTTTCCGAGGCTATGGGATTTGGTATATCCGGTAGATCCGGATTATCTCGGCCAATTTTCATTTTCATGAAAAATGCAAAAACATGTCAACTGAGATACGAATAGAGCTTTCGATTGATATATAGAACGTATTTTTTGACTGAAAAATAGTTAATTTACATTTAAATTACTCTTGTCCCTATCTTTATGTCGACGACTGTAAATACATATCA